GGGCGACGTGACTAGTTATGTTAAGTCAGGTCAAAAATATGGGACCCACTAATCATCTCTCCTATATCTAACTCCAATGCTTTAAAAGCATTTTTAACCTTGGGCCACTGACAAATATATTTGTGTAACATATTCTCAGATTTGTACTGACCATCACTAAGGTTTATAGAATTCAATTTCCTTATCAAACTAGCTTCAACCAGAAGTCTTTCAGTGACACATGATGAATTGTACACTTCTAAGCTGTTTTCCCAATCCATGAGATGATAATTGTTCCTTACATGAACGAACAGTGCACTGCTTTCAGATGCTCTTCTGATATTGTACTTGTGCTGTTTAATTCGGAGTTGCAATGCTTTCCCTGTCTGTCCTACATAATTTCCATTCCAGTTGCTACATGGAATGCAGTAAACACTTCCATTTACATTCAAGGTTGGGCTATTCTTGATTAATATATTGGTAATAGTAGAATCATACTTAAAAACGACATTAATATTTAATAATTTAAGGGAATTTGCCTGGTTTGAGTAGAATGAAAGAATTTCTTAGCCCTTTTAAAACATTGGTCAACAAACAATGAAGGGTTCCCAAGTTTTTGTGCAATGGACTGATTGTGTTTCAGTTTTTGTTCAATAAATTCAGCGTCACAAATACGAAAACATCTCAAAAACATAGTAGAAAAAACTGACATTTTGGTAGATTCCAGGTGACTCGATAAAAAATGTAAGAAACTGTCTACCTGTGCATTTATTTATGGCTTATTATTATTATCATTATTATTAGTTATAATTTTTATAAAGTTTCATTACCATTATTATTTTTTTAGTATAATTGTTATTTTTTTTTTAATAATTTTACTACTATTATTATTATTATTATTATTATCATCATCATCATCATCATAATTATTATTATTTTATTATATCTTCGCCCTGCGGAACTTGATGTGGGTCATTAAAAATGACCTGTGCCCTGGTAGGCTAATGCCCGTAAAAAAAAAAAAAAACCTCTGTTGGGCAACAGAAAAGGTATAAGGATAATCTTAGACAAACCTGAAAAGTGCCACATCGACCCCATCACCTGGGAGACGATCACTCCACACCATAAAGCTTGGAGGAGCACCACACGAGGTGTCAATACTTTCGAATTAGCCTGACTGTATACCAAGGCAGACAAGTGCCAGGTCCAGAAAGACGCTGACGCCGCCCTTCCTACGCTAGACGTAGCCCTTCACTCGTGCAACATGTTCTCGCTGTATCATCTGCCCGATGGATATCATTTTTATGACTTGACCTCATGTTTAGTAAGGTCACCCTGTGTACTTAAGCCTCTCTCTGTCCATGTAATTCAGTTGCCTCTGAAGAGGTCTTGAATAAAGGCGAAAGCTAAGGTGCTGCATTGTTTCCCTTTTCCCTGTGTGATTTTATCAAGTTTTATCCTATCTACGTTTTCATTGTGGATCTACATGATATATATATATATATATATATCAACACCTTATTATGTGTGACCGGGGAACGTTACCTCTAGACCACTAGTGTCCTAGTGGTGTCCTAGTGGTCTAGAGGTAACGTTCCCCGGTCACACACATAAGATGCGGGTTCGAGTCTTGGCGGGATGAGGTTGTTGATTAGATGTAGAAGTCCGAGCGCTTTATGGGCTAATGTATATATATATATGTATATATTTATATATATATATATATATATATATATATATATATATATATATATATATATATATATATATATATATATATATATATATATATATATATATATATATATATATATATATATATATATATATATATATATATATATATATATATATATATACTAACGGAATCGCCGCCCTTCGAGTGGCCCTTTCGCTAGGCCACGGTAAGACGCCACCTTCCGGGAGGCTCCACATTGTCTCACTGTAGTGCATTAAGGTAGACCACATTTTTAGTTTTGCCATTAGCAGCAGGTATGTACAGATTTTTGCCAGTTTCCACTCTGGAGCATCCAACATAGAACTGTCCATGAGAGAAGCAAGGAAACACCAGGTTTAGGCCAACCATCTTTAGGGACTGTCCCTGGCTTTTGTAGATGGTCATGGCAAAGCGCACTTTAACCGGGAACTGAAATCGCTTGAACTCAAATGGCAGGTCAGTGGTGATGAGAGGTATCCTTGGTATAAAAACGTCCTCTCCTTTAGCTTTTCCTGTCAGTATTGTAGCTTCCAGTACATGTGGCATCATGTTCTTCACCACCAGTCTTGTGCCATTGCAGAGGATTGGTGGTTCAAGATTTCTTAAGAGCATTATAGGAGTTCCAATCTTGAGAGTGAGGTGGTGAGGAGGCATTCCAGCGGGCTCCAAAGAATTAAGGAATTCTGTAGGGTACTGGACTGCTTGGTCCTGGTCGATTACTGTATCAACAGATTTGATTGAGGTCTCATTGCCTGGAAGCTGTCTGAGTAGAGTCATGTTGATTTCAGCCACTGTTTCATTCTTTGGTGCCAGAATTGCGCGCTCACGCAGCCACTTGTGATCCTTGTAGTGGTGGATAATGTTAGGGAAGACCATGTCAGTGAGCTCAGTTGAGGACTTTACAACATTTCCACATCCTTGAGGAATGATAATTTGTCCTTCTGAATCAACAGGGAAAGTTTCATTCCCAATTTGTAGTAGAAGGTTTGCAAACCGTCCAGCATCTTGATGCCCTTGTAGATGTACTCTCATGTTTGTGGATAGGGTGAGTGTCTTCACACTTCTCCAAAGGTATGATGCCTTGAGGCACGCATTCAGTTCTTCAGCTGGAGCGCTTCGAGGAATGACAGGTAGGGTCTGGCGAAAGTCTTCAGCAATGACCATTGTAATGCCACCCATGAGATGGTCAGTTTCTCGTATGTCTTGCAAGGTCCTGTCCAATGCTTCAAACGCTAACTTGTGAGGCATAGTGCATTCATTCCAGACTATGAGGCTGCATTTTTCTAAGAGTTTTGCCTTTGCCGATCTTTTTTTGATGTTGCACACTGGATTGTCATTGTGAGCGAGGTTGAGAGGCAGTTTAAAAGTTGAGTGTGCAGTACGTACTCCTTCTAGTAGTGTTGCAGCAATGCCTGAGGATGCCCCAGCAAGAGCAATTTTCCCCTGATGACGTACTTTGGCCAACAGAAGGTTGATCAAGAATGTTTTTCCTGTCCCGCCAGGTGCATCAAGAAAGATCCTACCTCCCCGCTCCGCTTGTATCACTTGCAAGATCTATTCATGAGTCTCACCAGGTGAGGCTCACTTTCTTCAAGAAAATTCACTAGAACTTCAACTGAGTAGTCTGTCTCTCTGAGCAACTCCCTGCTTGCAGTTACTGGTTCTTCTCGGTTTGGGGAAGGCATTCCAAAATCAGTCAGGTTTTTTCCGCATAGCTCCATCACTTTGTCTTCCAGCGTGATGAGAGCCATGTTGACCATGTCATCCATGAACTCAATCTCTTGACCAGGATGTTCTTTTCTTGCTTGATGAAGCAGATCCTCTGAAAGACTTTCTTGATGGTTTTCCAGAGCTGGCTTGGGTTGGAAAGTCCACATGTAGCAATCATGATGGCAAACAGGTTCCTCATTCTCACTGGCGATTGAGTAGCTGTTGCTTCTTCTAATGTGTTATTCCAGTGACCATCATCTTCCAGTAGGCCAAGGAGATTGCACGCTTCTTGATAGGTTCTGCAGACTTGTCCATTCACTGTCTTGAGTGCTGCATATGATGTTGGGCCACGGATGTGGTGCAAAAGAAGTCTCAAACAATAGCATTCAAAGTTGTTGGGGTGAACCGTGTAGACACGTCCCAAAGCATTGCCTGACTTTATCCCTGAATATCCTTCAACATCGGATCCTTGAGCTCTTCTCTGGAACTTTTTCATTAAAGCCTGCCATATGTAGAACTTGGGTTCGTCAACATACAGGAGTAGTTGAGCAAACTCATCTTCCTGTGAAAGCTTAAAGAATGCAGTGAGAGTAGTATCAGCAGGATTTGCCATTTGATTTTGTAGAGACTCTTCTGTGAAGTATACTCTTTGTCCATTTTCCAGGTAAACAGCCAGATGAACTACTGTTGGATAGCGTTCGTGCATGGGAAAACTAAAAAATTCTCCATAGGGCTTCATTGTTGAATATATATCGGCCCTGTTGAAACTGTGTCACCTCATCATGATTTCCATCCTTTTCCAATGCATAGATCGCTTGGTCAGAGCCTTTGTTGACGTATCTGCAAACATACTTGATGGACTTGACTGAATTACAGAACTCCACATTGATGTGCTCATTGAATGCTTTACTCAAAAAAGGATTGTAGAATTATAGGCAAAACCTTGTAAATATGTATAATGGACCACAAATCCTTGTTAAAACCGTAAAGCCTGTTCAACGGCGCCATCAGCTCGATGAACAGGCTTTGTGTGAAATATAACATAGTCTAGAACTGCTTTTAGTGTCTTTGTGGCATGGTCGGTAGCGTTCCCTGGTCCCACACAGTAGGTCGAGGGTTCGAGTCCTGATTGGTGAGGTCGTTGATTATATGTTCAAAGTCAGCGTGTTATATGGACAAAAAATGAAGTATATATGGTACCTTGTGCTTCATACCAGCTGGATTGGGTAAAATGCTACTGACATCCACATAAATGGCACGGGCAGTTCCCAATGAGAGGTTCACGGCGCCATCAGCTCTATGAACAGGCTTTGTGTGAAATATAACATAGTCTAGAACTGCTTTTAGTGTCTTCGTGGCATGGTCGGTAGCGTTCCTTGGTCCCACACAGTAGGTCTAGGGTTTGAATCCTGGCTGGTGAGATCGTTGATTATATATATATATATATATATATATATATATATATATATATATATATATATATATATATATATATATATATATATATATTATATATGTGTGTGTGTGTGATAAGACCAATTTAAAAGATGAAAAGTAAAATTTACACACTAATATTTCCATCTATCTGTTACAGTTTCTAAGACGATGAAGGAGCTGAAATTGCTGTGGAAGAGCGACGTCCCCATCAAGATGTACAAGAACATGAGGATGCCGCAGTTTGAGATTGAGAAGATCGTACCAACAACCTGCCAGGAGTCATTTCAAATAGGTGAGTACATTAACCCAGGGGAAGTATTCTCACTTATATGTCTTGGAGGGCTTTAGTAAGTTACAGCTCTTGCTTTCATGGATGACCCCCAATCACCTCTAATTACCTGAGTTGGGCAAGGGAGCCTGGAATTAACTCAATTGAGTAAGGGAGCCTCTAATTATCACAGCAGGGTAAGGGAATCTTTAATTACCTCGTCAGGGGCATAGGAGCCTCTAGTTACCTCAGCTCAGCAGGAGCAACGGAGCACCCAATTACCTTAGCAGAGGTAACAGAGCCCCCAATTACCTCAGCAGGGACAAGAGAGCCTTCAATTAACTTAATGGGGTAAGAGAGCCTCCAACTACCTCAGCAAAGGCAAGGGAGCTTCCAGTTACCTCAGCTGGGTAAGGGATCCTCCAATCACCTCAACAAGGGAGCCTCCAATTATCACATTGGGTCGAAGGAGTCTCCAATGATCTCAGTGGGGGCAAGGGAGCTGCAAGTGGCTCCAAACTTCCCAAAAATAGAGCACTAGTGTTGCAGATAAAGTTAGTGTTTAGAGGTTATTTTCCCCGTCTCGATGAACCTCTTAAGAGTCTGGCTTTGTCGACGTGGAAGGTTCAGTGCCCATGTGACAACTTAAAGGTTTTTGTTGTTATGATAAGGTACATTTTTTTTCGAAACAGATAACCTTGATGCCAGTATTAATGCTGGTGTCACCCCGCGAAGGATGGAACGTTCCATCAGGCAGATGATACAGCGAGAACATGTTGCACTTGTGAAGGGCTTGTAATAGCCGGTTAACTGTTGATTCTGTCGAAGTTGATTAGGCTGGTCCATTTGTATTATATTTTGTTTTAGTAGCGAAACCCAATTGTCTGTTTCTCCTTTTATTTAGGAACTGCTATTGATACAATTCCAGAGTGTAAATCAACCGTAATTTTCATTATAACTATGAGTGTTAAGAGAAGGAAGGAGGCTATGTAAATAGACCTGTTAATCACGTTAGACTTGTGTGAGGGGTTGAGTAGCAATGCCTCCAGGGTGCCGGCTTCTCTATGCTGATCCAAGCATTTACTGGCTGCACCTCAAGGAAGCTACCAATCACGTGATAAGAACATGACAACTCATAGCCAATGGAAAGTTACAGGGGATGATAGGGTATATAATTCAAATGTAATTAACCCATTTATATAATCTTTCTATTGATGAGACAAGGGCTATTACATTGCTCGGTCACCTGCCTTCCAAGTTTCGCGAGGACTAAACTAAGCGCGCAGACTACATCCTATACATTAACCTAACCATGTTACAAATATATATGTAAACAGTAAGCTGGGGACTCTGAAACCGTAGATTTTTCATCAACTACTGGGGTCCTAAACTTAAGTGGCTTACTGGCTAGTATGTAATGTACAATTGTCAACTTGGATGACACTGACTTATAATAACAAAACAGAAACAAAACTGCGAGAATTAACACAATTGTGGAAATTGTTAAACTTGGTATTGCAAATCCTCCTGAAAAATAAAATGGCAGATGATTACTCAAATCAGCAAATTGTGACTCTTTAAGTAGGAAATAACTTTTAATTTCTCTGAAACAGTATTAAGGTCGCTAATAGTAAAGTTCATAACATGAAACAAGGGAATTAAATAAGAAGTTAGATTTAAATTCAATGCAAAATGCTGATGAGTAGGCAAGGTCCGTAATGAACTACAAGTTATTTCACAGTAATCCGGAGCCTTGTAATGACCTTTCACAACTAACTGCTTGCCACCATCGTGGCACTTTAAAATAACAGTAGTGTCATTAGGAAAGAAAAAGTACTGCACATTATGCAGATGAGCATGAAACACAGTTTTAACACTAACTGGCCTATAGCTACATTGCGTAAGCCCTGTGCGTACATTAGTTTGTATGACCGCCAATTCACATATCCCTTCTGCAGCAGGAATAAATGCGAAAACATAGGCTGGACATACGTGTAAGTGTAGATATGTCGACTTACACCACGATAATACCCTAGGATCATCTAATGCCAACAAGGAATATTCTTCATCTATAAGCAAAAGTTCTTTTGGCCTATCCAGAGTATAGAGTGTGCAGTTTACACACCAAGGGAAAGGTTCTAAATGCCATGCATTAAACTTATGCTGCCCTAGCATAGGTATGTGGATAAGGATAGCATTGTGCGTCAGAGTCGACTCCAACAGAGGATAATAGTATTCCACCTCATGATCGTTAAAATTGGAGTTAAATGATACGTCAACTTGGCAATCTGCAATGCATCAAGAAGAGTCTTCACAGGCACAAGCTTTACGTCCACACGCCCTAACCCTGCATCCACTATGCTGTCGATTAGTTCATTTTTATAAGTATTTATAGCCTGCAAATATTGAGAGAAATAAAGTAGCCACTCTAACATAGGGACTGAACTCTGTAACTTATACACAACCCTCGATATATGGTTAGACTCCGAAATTATCGCATTAACCTTTGATTCTAAATCACTAATCGCATGGAATGTTTGAGATATGATACAGATTGATCGACAATGTTCATGCGGCCCCCTAACTTAGCTACATCTTCGGCAGTCGCTGTGCCAAACAGAGTGCTTTGGATAAAACCCACAAAATTAAACACTCCCTGCTTTCGTTGTGTTTGAGAACGCACTTCCTTTGCAAGATCATCCTCAGACGTTGGTATCCTCTTTCCGACAGCGACGAGAAGCTTGTGAAGGGTTCTGAGACGAATCAGCTGAAGCTCAACAGTTTGTGAAACCATTGTCAAAATATTAGGAGTTGAACGGAGATCATCGAGGACTGTCAATGCTGTCTGTAGTTGAGCGTCGACGGTTTCCATCTGACGGGGAAGCTTGAACATAAGAACATAAGAAAATAAGGAGTCTGCAATAGGCCGGTTGGCCTGTGCATGGCATCTCCTGTCGAGAGTTACTACCACTCTCTATCATCCATGAATCTATCCAGCCTCCCTTTGAAACTTTCCAGCGTTCCAGCACTTACTACAAGGTTGCTAAGCTTGTTCCACTCGTCCACCACCCTATTTGTAAACCAGTTCCTTCCTATCTCCCTCCTAAACCTAAACTTATCCGACTTGAATCCGTTGTTCCGAGTCCTATCCTGCTCGGATATTATAAGAACTTTATCTATATCACCTTTATTGATTCCTTTCACCCACTTGAATACTTCTATCATATCTCCCCGCACTCTTCGTCTTTCTAGGGAATGCAAGTTAAGTTTCTTTAACCTATTCTGATATGGAAGGTTTCTAAGTCCCGGAATCATTTTCGTCATTCTTCGCTGCACCGACTCTAGTGAATTGATATCCATTCTATAATAAGGGCACCAGAACTGAACCGCATAATCGAGGTGTGGCCTGACTAGCGCAAGATATAGTTGCAATAAGACCTCTGCACTCTTATTACTTACACTTCTAGATATAAAACCCAATACTTTATTTGTCTTATTTCGAACATTAACGCACTGTTTTTTAGGCCGTAGGTCCGGGCTTACAAGTACTCTATGTTTGTCTTTGATACCCCCAAAATGTTCTACACTACTGAGGGTATACGCAAACACTTGTTATCTTGAAAATAGGTTCATATTCTCGTACGGGAGATAAATACAGAGGAACAAAGAAACTGGCTTCCACACCATAAGGACTAGTGATCTCAACTCTCTGTATCACTCCGCGCTGGCATGTACAGATGCCAGCATTCACAAGTTGAATACATAAAATGTAAATATGATAATTCACATACATAACATGGTGCATAATAAATGGAAATATTACATAGCATTAATACATGTTCTGTAATACTTTACTATACATAATTAATAGAGTAATATAAGAAAACACAGCTTAAGGTACTACTTCGTGTCCATATTATACACCTCCCTCCCCCCTATACGCTCATAGTTTCATCTTGAGCGGACCTTTTGTTTCTGAGTCGCTCGGACCTGCGGAGTACCGGGGCAGAAACACAAGGTGGGGCTGGATTTACTGTAAAGACATCAGCATTAGGGGACTCTACTGGGGAAGGGTCAACACTTGGCAGCTCCACAGGTCAGAGGAAACGACGGTTCCTCCACCATACTCTACCACTAGGAAGATGCACTTGGTAGTCCCTGGACCGGCCAATACCCATGACAACCCCAACCTTGTCCCAGCGGTGAGATACCGGATCTTGAATCCTGACCTGCTGGCCGATACTCAACCTGGGAAGGGGGCGGGCATGACAGTCGTACCGAGCAGTGACATCTGCGGCTCATTCTGCTGCACAGCGGTCACATTCTTCAGTCTTGGCTTGCCATTCATTAGAAAAAGACTTCGGGTGGGCAGGAACACAAGACCTGAGATGATGTCCATATAGAACCTGGGCTGGGGAGCGTCCGGTGAAGTTCGGGGTGTTGCGTAACTCTAACAAACCTCGATCGAAGTCCTCGCAGTCGATATTTCCTGAGGGTGACACCTTAAGGATCAGGTGTTTAACAGTCTTGATTACGGCTTCAACGTGTCCATTCGCCTCGGGGTAGTGGGGCGAGGTCACGACATGACGGACTCCCCAACGGTCCATGAAGTCCCGGAACTCGTGGCTGGTGAACTGGGGTCCTCCATCAATCCTGAGACGGAGGGGAACCCCAACTTCTCTGAAGTAATGTCTGAAATTCCGGATGGTAGCAGTAGCTGTTGTATCACTACTACAGGGGACGACAACAAGCCATCCAGACAATCGGTCTGCATTGACGAGGAAGGACTTCCCTGCCACTGCAAAGAAGTCGGCCGACACAGACTCGAAGGGTCTTGAAGGGTTATCGTCGCACATTAAAGGTTCCTGTTGCTGGCTGGGTTGCAGAATATGGCACGGCTCACAGGCACGCACGGTACTTGCAATGTCCGCGTCGATTCCGGGCCAAAATACAGTCTGCTTCGCCCGTCGCTTGGTGGCCTCCACTCCTCGATGGCTGTCGTGAAGGCGGGTCAAGGCACGGCG